ATCTTCCAAAATGTGGTGATTCAAAATATTTATGATTCAAAAAAACTTTTGATTCAACTTGTTTATGATCCTAACTTTGTTATGATCTAAAAATATTTAGACTCAAATATTTTATAATCCTTAATTATACATTTTATGATTCAAAATTAAATGATTCAAAATATATAGTGATCCATAATTATTTTTTGAAGAAAACTATATTTAATTGAATATATTATTGATCCAAAATCATATGATTCAAAATACTACAATTCAAAATAATTTGATTCAAAATTTTAGGATCCAAAAATAATATGATTCAAAAAAGGTATGAACGGAAAATATTATGATCTTTAATATTCTTTTTATTTAAAATTTTATAATTTTTAAAAAATAAAAACTCAAACCGATATTTAATTTAAAAAAAAAAAAAAAAAAAAAAAAAAAAAATAAAAAAATAAAAACAAAAATAAAGAAAAACACTAGTACCTTCAAGTACGTAGTAAATATATTAAAAAGAAAAAAAGAAAAAATAATAATTAAAAAAAAATGAAAAAAATAAAAAAACGAAAAAAAAAGATTAAAAACGTTAAACCGAGCATATATCTGTTTAAATTTTCTTTTTTGAATTTTTTTGTTTAACCAAAAACAAAAAAAATAAAAAAATAAAAATAAACGATAATAAACAAAATAAATAATAAAACTCACTTAAATGACGTTCCATGACGTTCGCCGCACGTTATTAAATCCTCGAGTCCGTATTAGTTTCCATGGACGTGGGTCACATGCGAACGCACCACATCCAAATATTTGAGTTTGACGTTTGTGCCATTGACAAAATAAGTGGTGGGGAACTGTCCTCGCAATCATCACCATTTTTCGTTGATTATGCATTAAATACAATAGTATGATTATTCTGAATTGTTATGTCCAAATTTTGTAGCTTGTTATCGGAGAATTACAAGTTAATGGCTGACTTATTGTCTGAACGTTATACTTGTAAATTGATATTGGTCAATACAAGGTAATGACAGACTTAGTGTTTTAATGTCATATTTGTATACTGTTAAGAAATATTAATTGGTAATGGGTATTTAGAAGTTCTAGAGTAGTATAGTTATGGAAATGACTAGAATTATTAGTTTATGATCATAGGCTTGGTGGCTGTAATATCATAAGTGGAGAAATGCAAGTTAATTGCAGACTTAGTGTCTGTAACCCTGTATTTGAAAGATGTTGCAGAAAAATGATGGTAGTTTTGGTGACTGTAACTAATATCATTACCGGATGAATTAGTAATTTATGTAATATTAATTACTACCAAGAGAGCTTACAGACATTAATAATAGCTAACACGACTGTAAGTCTACTATGCCTTCTGAGTAAGTGAAATGTTTGATAGCATGGTTAGTGACATTGTATGTCTATTGAGTAGCATAATTTCAGTGTACCGTTAGTGTACATATATGTGCTAGACTAAAGTAGTTTTATTGGTCCTAAGGTAATGTTATAAGGTTGTATATCATTGATGGAATTGTAACAAGAACGACATTGCATTGTAAGATCCTCTTGATAATTAATTGTACTGGTTTGTGATACGATATACACCGAATTTGTAATGGTACATGTTTTATAAATGAAATTTTTTTGGTATACTTTGTGTTAAAAATCTAGGTGTTACAGTGTGACAGACAGTTGTGATGGTCCGAGATAAAAAAATATTTATTTTTTGTAGGAGGTGTGGTAAATATTTATTTTTTGTTTTTCTTTTAATTAGAAAATATTAAAGTAAATAAAAATAAAATGAAAAAAATAAAATACAAATGACAACCTTTAAAATGTTTCGACCCGACATTACATAACATATTTACAAAGTATAAACCTTAACTCGAAACCTGATACAAAATCGATAAAAAATAAACCGATTAACACGATAATTAAACCAATCAAGTTAGGATCAAACTTTCTCAATCCATTTAATGTCTTGACCCGACCCACACAACCGTGGGTCTAGTCTTATCCCAAACTAATATGTGGTGTTCTCAATCCATTTAATTTCTTTTTCAAAAGAGGGTGAAAATGTAAGATAAACATGGAAGTTAAGTTACTTTTATTGATATTTTCCAGTGGACTGAACATGAAATCATTTCACTACTGGTCGTTGGTGTTGTCACCGTTCACACTATAAATTTATCTCGTTTCCGTTAAACGATTAAACCTCACCGGAGAACTCCTACTCAGTTCCGATGGCACAGCTGTTGAAGAGGGTTTGGGAATCGGTTTCCAGTGGTTGGAATTCGAGTGATTCTACTTCAAACTCGCTATACAATTTGGATTACAGTCCAGTTCATGGAACCCTATCCGATCAAATTATCATCTGTTCCTCATCCACTGGGGCATTTGATCGGTTGCCTCTAGATATATTTATGCAAATACTCAAGCTTCTCGGACCAAAAGAGGCTGCTAGACTCACATGTGTTTGCAAATCGTGGAAATTCATGGTCTCAGATAACATGTTATGGATATTCTTTCTTCAAAACCAACAGGATCCCTGGGACTCAATTTTCTTTGCGGAAACTAACTTACGATCTGGTTTTCCTCTCCGGTAGGTTTTCATTTTGTTAATTTTCAGCCTTATTGGATGTTTATAGAGTGAATTCTGAGTTTTATGAACTGTTTATGCTGATTTGAGAGGAATTTTCAATTCAATCATTCGAGACTTAAATACTTGAATTGTGATTGTAGAACATATCCTCGTCAGATGCAATCATTTATGCATATTTATGGTGAACGAGCACAAGTTCCTGGAGCTATCATCGTTGATGGTATGCGTACTATTTTCTTCCCAATCCTTCATTCCAACTTTTTTCTTCTTCTTCTTTTTGTTTTCTCCATAGTTCTTATAAAGGTGACGAAATAAAGAGGTCTGAAATCTGCATTTGATTTCACTACATCTACGATTATTACCAAGTGATTTCTATTGCCTTGATGTTCATTGCCAATAATTTGGTTTTTTCTATCTTTTACCGAAGGTGGTGCTGGTTATTGCAAATTTGGTTGGAGCAAGTATGATTCTCCATCAGGGCGTTCTGCAACATTTGTGGTAAGTAATTGCTTTAACGGATGATGAATATAAACATGTAACTTCATTTGAATTTGCATTTTCTATTGCACTTCGTTACTGTTCTAAAAGTTTGACTTCATGTGTAGGAATTTGGTAACATTGAGTCTCCATTGTACGCTAGGCTTCGTCATTTTTTTGCAACAATTTATAGCAGGTGTCTCATTGTTGATTACATTTGCAAACACCTCCTTCATCTGATTATGAAACATGTTTTGTAGTTATAACTTGTCACACATGCCGAATACACATGAAATATTTCTTGTAGAGTTACAAATTGTTTTCCTTTCATTTAAATCTGAAATATTTATAGTATTCACGACTTGAATCGCATATTCATATGCAGGATGCGTGTTAAGTCATCTATGCATCCAGTCATTATCTCAATTCCAATCTCCCATTATGATGGTATGCTCTCAATAGTGTCCCAAAAACATGTATAATGATGCTCCATTTTCATTAATCTTCATTTACATGATGTTATGATCATGAATTTCTTTAAATTTGCTTCAGATACTGGTGCTGATAAAGCTTTTAGACGCCAACTCAAAGAAGCAATTTACTCAGCATTGTTTGGAATGAAGGTTCCTTCTGTGTGTGCAGTCAGTCAGGTACTTATTATTTGTTAGTCCCCTAAACAAGGGTAAGATAGTCATTTACTCAATGAATTTGATATGCAGGCAACTTTAGCTTTGTTTTCAGCAAGAAGAACATCTGGAATTCTTGTAAATATTGGTTTCCATCAAACATCTGTTGTCCCAAGTATGTTAGTCTTTCATCCTCTTACAATCATTAAGTTAATGTTTGGAATGATGGAATCAACAAAGGAATGGAATTGCTGATTCCATTTGTGTCATTTCCAGTTTTACATGGTAAAGTAATGCATAAAGTGGGTGTTGTATCTGTGGGTGTTGGAGGCTTAAAGCTTACTGAATACCTTAAAGAGCAACTTCGTCTAAGAAATCTACATGTTTCTTCATTATACACTGTTCGCTCATTAAAAGAGGTACTTAAAAAATATATTTATTTTCATATTTTTTTTTTCTTAATAATGTTTTCATGTTGTAGAATCTTTGCTATGTTGCTTTTGACTATGAGAATGAATTAAAGAAGGATAACACAAAAGCATCATACAAAGTTGCTTCTGAGGGTTTGTTTACTCTTGAGAAAGAACGTTTCCAAACAGGAGAGATTCTCTTCCAGCCACATATTGCAGGATTAATGTAATCTTTTATCCACTTTAATTAATATCTATAAAGTTACGCCCTTGAATTTTTTTTATATAATTTCCAATTTTACCCTTTTAGAAATGCAATGGGTCTGCATCAGGCAGTGGCAAATTGCATTGAGCGCTGCCATGCTGCCAAAATGAGAACCGATCATACTTGGTTCAAGACAGTTGTGTTGGCTGGAGGCACTGCATGTTTACCAGGGTTACAAGGTATAAATTAATTTATAAATATAAATGTTTTTAATTTTTAATATAATATTCATTTATAAATGCTTCATGTTTTAATTAATTGTAGAAAGATTAGAAAAAGAAGTACATGATCTTCTACCTCCCTCCATATCCAATGGAATTCGTGTTATCACTTCCCCTTATGGTGCTGATTCTGCATGGTATGGAGCAAAGCTTCTCAGCAATGTAAGCATCCACATTCAACAACCCTAATTTTTTCCTTTTTTATTTCTTTTATGAAATTAAAAAAAGTATATTTTAATCTATGCAGTTGAGCACATTTCCAAATTCATGGTGCATCACTGAGGAGACTCAGTCAAAGTCAAAAAGATCCCTCATATGGTGAAAACTTATATGCTACAAATAAGAGTGTTGTTGTAATCATATGTGCAATAAAATTAAGATATGAAATATTATTTATAATAATTGTTCTATTGAAACTCACGGGAGAAACATGATTAGGAATAAATGTGTAACTAGAATTAGCAGAAGTGAGAAATGATGGGAGATGTTGTTGGAAGTAGAATCTTGTGGTGGAACTGCGTCGCAGACAAGCCCAGCTTTGTTGTCGTGACATAAGTTGGAGAAAATGCCAGGTGGATAACTTCCATAGAGGTTGATGTAGCTGAACATTTGTGTTGAACAATAGTTTGATAAGTCGTTTAATTCGTCAGCGTAAGGACAAGCGAAGTCTTTGAAAGCTTGACAGCAGAGATTTGGAGGGTATTTTGGTCCTTTGCAACGGCTGGTGATGATTGTGTAGTTCATGGTCTGGAAGCTTAATGGGCATGCTGCAGATTCAAATAATAAGTTGTAAAATACGCTTAAATGATGTAATGGAATTTAAAACCTAAAAATTTGTTTAATTAGAAGCAAATTTGACAAGTGTTATTGGTTGTAATTTTATGAAATTAGTTAAGATTAATGAAATTAGGGCATGGATGTATGAATGAAATTGATGATAGTGAATTAGGAGAAATGAGGGAGACATTTCTTATCCTGGAGGAGATTTCGTCCGATTGAAGGTTGAGAAGTGAAGGCGTTATCTGTTTAGACATAAGAAATACGATAAGAATGTGAGGAAATCCATGGAAAACCCTAAAAACTTAGAACAAACCTGAAAGGGAAAATGGTAATGGTAGAAGTAGCAGCAGAAAGCAGAAATTTGCGATCGTCATAGCAGATTGTTTTTTTGATGAGACTAACTCTCCAAGTTTTTAGAAAAAAGAAAAGGGTTTAAACCTATAAAACTGAAATATGCAATTTTTTTTTTTTGCCATTTTTATATGCTACAGTTATAGTTATAGGTTACCATTAAATAATTTTTTTTTTCAAGTTTTTAAATCTTTTAAATTTTTACCTAAAATATTTTTTTTTTTTTTTTTCATTTTACACATAGGTATTCTTGCAGAAAATGTATTTGTGTATGAAAAAATGTTTAATTAAACATCGTATATAAGTTTTTTTTAAATGTTATTTATTTATATACGAGTTTTTATGTATATTTATACAGATTAAAATGTAAATACATACTTTTTTATGGTTTTTATATGTGTACATTTTTAGAAGTATAAATATGTGTTTTTATGTTTTTTAGAAATTATAGATACATGTTTTACAAACATAAATATATATGTTTATATTTTTGAAATATTAATATGTTTTTAAGAAAAATAAATATATTTTTAAAAGTATAAATACATTTCTCAAAAGTATTATTTCTAAATATGTTAAAAATATGTATTTCTACACCTAAAAAATCATAATAATATTTGTAAAAGTTGTATTTATGGTTCTAAAAAACATATATATATATATATATATATATATATATATATATATATATTCAAAAAGTATATCTATAGCTTTAAATACATAAAAATATGTATTTATACTTCTATTCTTAAAAATCATAAAAAAATATGTATTTATAGTCTAAATCATATAAATTGGCAAAAAAAAGAGACTCGTATATAGAGAAATTGTATTTAAAAATACATAAATATGATGTTTGAGTTTTTTTCGTGAATAAATATGTTTTTTCTTTATAAATACGTATGCATAATATAGAAAAACTTATTTAGGGTAAAGCGTAGAAAAATTGTAAATTTAAGGGTGTTTTTTTTGTAACTTTTATTCAATGGTAATTTAGAAACCCGTTATAATCCCTATTCTAATAAAAGAATAGTTTTAATCTTCTTTTTCCATGTGTCACTCTAATACAATTCTTCATTAATATTATGACAAATGTCATTAAGATATATTAGGCAAATCATTTTAAAATTCAAATTTACTTTTTCTAATTATATTTTAAATTTAAAGTTATAATAATTTTAAAATTTTGATATATCTCTTAATTAATAATTTATTTAAAATATTTATTTAAAATAACTGATTAATAATTATGAATATTTACTACGAAAATTATATATTTAAACCCGTGTTTCTCACGGGTTCTAAACTAGTAGGTAAATAGACAAAAATAAGTTTTTTTTATGTCATTATCCCTTTTTTTATTGGTATTGTAATTTGATCGATAACCATTAATTATATTTTCTAAAACATATGTATTTGTTATTTAGGAATGATAAAATAATCATTTTTGTTAATTATTTTTTAAAAAACAGGCAGAATATAACAAAATTTTGAAAATAGTCATTAATTTTGACTGCAAAATGGGCCTTATTGGGTAGGCCATGTGTCCCCAAATGTAAGTGATTTTTTTTTTTTTTGTTAGTCTTCTTTTTTATTCTTTTCATTTTGCAACACTAGAAACACTCTCAGCACTCATGGCTAAAGGCGACAATAAGTTTATTCGAGAAAGATTTTCTTAGTTTAATAGTTTAAATTTGCATATATTGTTTGTGTTAGAATATTTTGTGGCTTGTCCTAAAGTGAATGGTGAGGCAGCAGATGGGCGAAAGATGGGGCGGTACCTCATTCCAAGAAGTTGAGGGCTCGCACATGTTAGGGTTCGGTAGGATGGTGGGCTATTCCAACCAACAAGCATATAATCGTTGAACGGATGTATTTGTTTTTTATCTATGATATATACTACTCTCAACTACTTTAAAAACCACACCAAACTTCTAGATTTTCTATAATTCCATTCTTATTCTCTATATTTTCATTTCAACATTTTTTCTCTTCAATTCAAATGGATTCTAGCTATAGGAAATCTAAAAAGACCGGTTTAACCCAAAGAAGAAACCATCGAGGTGAAGGTGGTTCGCAAGATTACCTATAGATAATTCCTGCAATCTAAGTCCCAAATTATATCCAATACCCATATTATCAACAACAATATCAACAATGGCAACACAAGAATCTTATAACCAATTTGGTCTTTCTCAAGTCTATCCCCAATTATAATTCGTTCCTACAAAATCAAACTCCATATTCCATCGCCGAAACCCCTATGCCATATTACGTTCCCAACAAATTGTATTTCTGAGAGTCTGAAAACAAGGAATCATCCACTAAAATGTCATAAATCCCTCAAAAACAAAACAAATAATCAAGTAACGAAACCTAACCCACATTTCAAACAGAAACACCAATAAGTTTTTTCCAAATGGTAAAACACGACCATTGTCCGAAAAAAGTAGCATTGACCAAGGTGTTTATCAGTTGTTCTGAAGACGACGAACATGGAAATCATCAATGAATAGACTCATTTTACAAGAGAAAGTTAAAAGTTCAATTATATCTACAACAAGAAGCGCAACATCCATGCTTGTTGTAAAGTCGACACATAGTGAGTATCATAAAATCTGTGAATCAAATCTTTTCCACATCTCGGGCATGTGATATCCTAAAACACTACAATAAATGGCTACCGTTAAAGTAACCGGTGAAAATTCTCTTATTCTTTATAAAAAGGACCAAAACATCCGACTCCAACACATACACAACCTTATCGGATGCCAAATTTTCAACTCACTTAAATGAGGAAGCCGATGAACTTGATGGTGGAGAGTTTCATGTTGAAGAAGCCGAAGCCGAAGCCGCAACCACAACTGCAACGAGAAAAACGAAACCACAAAAATAAAATAGGAAAAAAGTGGTATCCATACATGAATCACAGGATGATATCAAAACCTTCGTGAATCAAATCTATCATCTCACCCAAACAAATGACCAAGATAAGGAGGTACAAGACAATACAAAACTAATAAATTGTGTATATTGTAGGAGGAGAGACTACATAAAAAACAAATCTATGATGAGGAGTTACACATGCTGAAAGTAGGGGCGACTCACGAGGTTGGGGGCTCTAAGCCAACCAAAAATTTGGGGCCCTTTGGTCTATACTATAATTAAATTCTATAATAAAAACAAATATAAAAGTGAAGGTTGTTTTTTTTTTCTATTAACTTGCATACTTGCAGAGTTTTAATTAAATGGAGAACTCAAACTTATAGGATTATTTTTAACTAAAATATATACAACTCAACATAGAAATCAAATGAACAAGCCACATACATATAAAACGATCAATAACAAACATTCTTTAGCTTCAAGTTACATAAACAAAGGAACAAAGAAATCGAAAATCACTAACTCAAAACTTCCAGTGTTTTAATTAAAAGGACAACATTAGCTTCAAGCAGCAAGCCAACAACGCAAAATATGAGTGGAAACACTAACTCAAAAATCAAAAATCAATGAGAAACAAAGAAATCGAGCATTAATCAATAAACAAAAAACCAATGGAAAATCAGATAATGGAAAAAGTTAACCCTAATTGGCTATTAGTCCTAATAGATAATCAGATGATGAAAAAAGATCAAGTGAAAACACTGCACATACCTTGAATCAATGAATCATCATAGATTTTTGAACAATGAAGAATCAGAGAAGCCGAGAATGAAGAAGGAAAAAATTGCAGCGGTTCAGGAAGATTTTCAGTGTTCAAGAATCGAGATTGTAGAAGCCCATAATCGATAATCAATATTCATAGTGTAAGAATGAAGAAGGAAGGAAGAAGAATAGAAGTGTGATTGTTGCTTTTGATTTGAGGCGTCAGGCGTGCATATGAGCGAATGGAGGCGTGCATATCAGCGAATGGAGAACAAGGTATCAATAGTCGACATTAAAGGATTTGGGTAAGTAGGGGGCCCTTTACAAAATGGGGCCCTAAGCCCTAACTTAACTTTATAATACGTAAAGCCGACCCTGGCTGAAAGAAAGACCATTTTGAAAAAGATTTGAATTTTTTTCTTCAACCGCATGATCATTTGGTTGGTGGGATGTTGAGTGTAGTGCTCGCTTGCAAGCAAGATCTAGCACAAATTCCTGGTTGTGAGGATTATAATTCGTGTTAGGATTTCAATTATTATTTAACCATTTCAGTTATCATTTTTAGATTTTAAATTTCCATGTTGCAGATGTTCTTAATGAAATGTTATCTTCAGTAAATGTTTTATTCATTTAATTTAATTTAATTTTTATAGTTTTAATTATTTAATTATAAGTTAGTAAATGTTTTAATATTTTAAAAAAATTATTTGGGTTAGGAGGGTTGGAAAATATGGATTACTTGTGTTAATGGTTTGAAAAGATGGAAGTGAGATGTAAGAGAAAAATGGATGTAGTGCTTAGGTGGAAAGGGTTGAGTAAGATGAACTCCCCCTAAAATAAGAAATGTTCTTGGCCTTTGCGAAATGTCTTTTTGGCAATTTGTGGTTCTTTTTTGTTACTTGAATACTCTTCTACATTTACACTGGCCTATGAAATGACATTTAAACGCTACAAAATATTATTTTTCTTAGGGTTTAGGGCATCTTGCTAGCCATTTCAAGTCATTTTACAGAGGTGCCATGTGAAATTTTCTATGCCATATAACATCCGCTTTTGGCAAATTTTAATTGTTTTTGCCTAAATACACTTCTATATGTACATCAACACATGATATGATGTATAAATACTATGAAATATATTTTGTTAGGGTCTAACGTATTTTGTAGGCCATTTAAGGGCATTTTGTAATGTACTTTGCTAAATGGTCTTGACACTGTAACATCTATTATTCAGGTATTCGTTTTAACCCTTGAGTTGTATTTTATTTGCAAGGTTAGTCCCCAGTGGCAATTTCATAATTTCGGAGTCAGCTTGGGTACGCGGGGAGTACACCTTCGTACACAGGGCGTACCCGGGTTCGCATTAGTACGCTACGTATACATTGGTACGCAAGGCAAACGCAGCCA